CATATATATATATATATATATATATATGAGGTGATTGTACTTTGTACTAGCCTTATTTGTTTATTTAAACCATAAAATGCAGCATTACCTTGTGTACCAATGATTTCCATGTGGAGGTGTGCCAGTCCACTGGCTATAGACAAAGCCAGAACCACCATGCCCTCCACAGAAACCGTGTATCTGTTCAGGTAATCGTACAGAGAGCCGTGCTCGTGGTACTCTGACACCAACCAGAGCTGAGTCCACGAGCCATTATCTGCAGAATAAACCAAATGACACAGCTAAGCAACGACACATTTATCTCATCGATGCAATTAGGTTTGTTTATCTGGCACCTTTGTTATCAGCAGCAATGAATCCCAGGATGTTCTCATGCCGGAGCATGATGGTCTGATAAATCTCTGCTTCCCGGAACCACGACCGCTCGTCCCGGGAGGAGAAGATCTTCACGGCCACGTCCTCTCCTCGCCACTTGCCGCGCCACACCTCACCAAACCGACCTTTTCCGATGGTCTCCTGCAGGACGATGGTTCGAGCTATGGTTCTCTGGACCAGCAGTGGAAGTCCTGCGAGATACAAACAGTTTTAAAACAAACAAAATGTGTTTTGGGAAGTAGGAGTGTAAAGGGTGCTACAGCACCCTACAGAAGACATGAATGTTCAAACACATACTAAATAAAACAATGAAATAATAAAAACTCATTTCACCAGTGTATATGTTTAAATTCCAATAAGTGCATATATTTGATATGGTATTCTACTGAGTGGTAAAGGTCATATAAATTCCCATGATCACAGCACCTGTCCAGACTTACAGTATTTCCCTCACCTGATCCAGAGCCAGAGGTGCTCATGTCATAGATCAGATCTTTGAGGCATGTGTCAGGAGACATCAGGATCTGGTTGTCCAGAGGATCCTCTGGGTCTTGCTTGTAGGCTCGGCCGTAGGCACAACGGTGTCCCTGCACGAGGCACACGCCCAGCAGGATCCCTACACACAGCAGGCAGGATGGCACCAGGATCACAACGCTGAGCTGAAGCCTGCTCCAGCCTGGTTCTTCTAAAGGTGTCTCTGATGACGCACAGACATTTACAAAGAAACATAATTATTAATGGAAGCATACATTTATTTCCCTGTAAAGCTTGTTCACTTATTTACACAAACAATTAAAATATGAGGATTTGCCATTTTTTGTTTTTTTCTTGTAGCTGCTGCGCCCCCTGGTGGTGATTTATCTACACTGCAGCAATGTGGGCAAAATCATTTCAACTAAGTACAATGTTGTTGCAAAAAATAAATAAATAATAAAAACTAATCCATATTGATGTAAAGTAATTTGACAAAGCAGAGTATCCGGCATTCAATATCTTCCTGGTATCTTTCTGAGTACAAGGAAACTCAATTATTGCTTACAAAATGCATTAATCAAAAGTAATAAGGAAGCTTTTAGCACTTGCAAACGTTTTTCTGTAAAAGCAGTTTTGATTCATTTCTAATTAAAACAACTTTTCAGAAGCTGGTGCATTCTGAGACCTTGCAGTAACATTGTAGGTTTGGCAAAAAAAATAAAAATAAATAAAAGTAATTTTGACACTTTTTTTCTTTGACCTTGATTCTGTCTGTGGGCGGATAAAGGAAAACTGGACACAATTAAAAATAGCAGAGCAGGTGGGTGCTGTGATAACATGAGATTTACAGACATGCTGATAAACTGAGGCAGGGTGGATAGATCTATGACAACATCTTTGCTTTGGCCAACAGCAACTTCACCATTACTTACAACAACTCAAAGAACGTTCATTTTCCCCAAAAACTTAGGATCAACTTAAATCCCTGAAGCTTGAAATTTCCTAACCATGCTTAAACATTTAGTATATGCAGATTGTCCAACGTGCCAAGCAACAAACTGTGAACTTGACCACAGCTTCTTAAGACATCTTTGGCCTTTTACCTAAATCCACATCCTGCCAACTTCACTCCAAGATATGGTGCAAAACAAGACTTGACTCTCCTCTGGCCCAGTAGCTTAAGGCCAAACTGTGGAGGCCAGCATGGGCCTGGGAGGTGATCGATCTACTGTGTGCCTTAGAAAAAAACATTTAATTCATTGTTAGAAAATTAAGACAGGAGTTGCTCTCGTCAGTACATTAAAATAAAATTCTGTTTTGAGCCCTTCTTGTCTATTCAGCCTGTATAAATCACAGCGCTCATGCACAGCATGTGCTCCGTGGTGTTTTTATTAGAGCTGTAACCGATTGATTGTGTTGTCCTCATTTACAGTCAGCACCACTGCAGCCTGAGGGTCCTGCACTCATCAACACGCTGCAACACCTTTTAAAAAATAAAATAAAATCAGCTGAAGTTCAAGAAGTAATATGTGAACATCATCTATGTACACCACTGTCTTCTCGAGGCCAACGCTCCTTCAGAATGGACTGAGGCAAAGTGGAGAACTGTTCTGTGTTCAGACTAATCAAAATGATATATATTTTTTAAACCATGGATTCCATACTGACGTATAAAGTGACCATCGGGCTTGTTATTGTACCAGCAGACAATTCAAAAACTTGCCTCTCTGATTGTATAGGGCAGGGGTCTGCAAACTTTACAATCAAAAGAGACATTTTGTGCCTTCATTCACTAAATTAAACGTGTCCAGAGCCTAAAACAACCTGCTACAACATTTTATCAAGTGGTGGCCCATGAGCCAATTTAAGGTTGTTGGAGGGGGCTTTTGTTGCCAGTAGCTAAAAATATCTAATGATTTTTAACATTCATTAATATTTTATATATATTTTAGTAAGATTGGACATGACACGCAATGGCTGATTGATGGAAGAGCCACACGATCGGCATGGATTTTTAAATTTAAAATAAATTATTTTAAATGATTTAGCTCTTGTGTGCATCCCACAGCTGCAGAAGAGGCTTCCTCCTGCAGCTGATCAGCCGATTTCCATGCAGAGCGGAGAAGTGGGCGTGGCCAAGAGTGCAGCCGGAGGCAGAGAGCTAAAATCATGACATTCTGTGCTCTTTTAGAGCGTTTAGAGTTTAGAAACATTGTTTAGAATATTGCAAGAGTGTGGGAAGGGTTTAAAATGCCTTTATATAAAAATACTAAAATGAACTACTTCTTACTACTTGTACTACCATTCCTTTGCGGTTTTTTACTTATCGTGGGGCTTCAGGATACGAATCCCCCACGATAAACGAGGGACTACTGTATTCTTATAAATAAATAAATACATTTTTTTTTTTACAATTTTTTATTATTAAAACAAACTATGAACTATGCAGAGCTATGTGATTTTTTTTAAATTATGGAACAAATAATTAAGTATAGAAATAAAGCACAAAGTTAAAGTGAGTATGCTTTACTTCTTGTAGTATTCACATAGTTGCAAAATAAATAACCACAAAGATGAAAAATGAAAACTGCTGATATTAGCTGTTGTTGTTTTTTTTTGGTGTAACAAACAATAAAATTCAGTTTTATGATAGTTTTGGTCAAAGCTTGAAAGAGCTGCAGACCCCTGGTATAGGGGTGCATTAGTGTCTCTAGAATGAGCAACTTAATAAAATCATTAATACAGAATAGTCTATACAGGTTTTGGAATATATAATCTCATCCAGATGATGTATTTTGGAAGGAAAGCCGTGCTTATTTTAGCAACATGATGCTAACATCTGCTAACTGCAGACCAGACCTCTCACCAGCTGAAAACATTTGACGCATCACGACACAAAAAATCCTGCAAAGACCGAAGGCTGTTGAAACGGCTATCAGACAAAGATAAACAACATTCACCTTCAAAAATTCACACAGCTGACCTTTCTTTCACCTCTCCAACAACTCCACGCTCCCAAAAATTGGACCCTAAATTCTTCATTTAAAGATTTTCTGTTTTTGCTCCATTAAGAATGAAATACAGTTTAATGAGATTTGCAAACCTCTGCATTCTGTTTCAATTTATCCTTTTGAACAACGTCCCAACTTTGTCGGGTTTGGGGTTGCAAATGAACGTCAATCATGCAAATGCAAGCAATATGTTTAAATTGAATTAAGAAATATGCAGTTTGCATAAAGCTGCAATGAAAACCACCATGATGTGATGACAAAACATAACGTAGTGTGTGAACCTGCCTCTCAGTGTGAGAAACCCACCCCCCTCCTCTGTAATGGTTTCACCCAGCAGGCCTATGAAAAGCTCTGTGCACAACATGCTATTTATTTATAAATCAGGGGAGGGGCCGTCTCATAACCTCGGCCAGCATTGTTATGTCACAGGATTGAGGCGGATCAGCATCCACCTCGTCTGGTCGGGACCAGAATGAGTGGGAAATCCCTCACAGATTGGATTGGTGCTTCAGTTGACTGCATAACTCTGAAAACTACTGAGATTACCAGACTGTGTCTGCAGGGATGATTTATGTTTGGGTGGTTTTAATACCCCGCCTCTTTTATGTCTTTTTCTTTAACGCCACTGGCGAAATTTTAATCCTTATTTCTGTAAACAGACAAAGACGTATAAAAAAACGACCTAAAACACAGAATAAAACAGGCCTGACATCCGTTTTTTTAAAGCATCTCGTTGATGGTACTTGAGTGCAGATGCAGAGTCTCGTTGTTGCAGAAGTCGGTGAAGCAGCAGCTTCTCTTGGAGACGTTCCTGGAGCTGTAGCAGAAAACCTGGCCCTTCATCTGTGAGGGGGACAGGCAGGACTTGACCGTCTCCTCCTTCCCATCAATCAGCATCACAGAGTTCCAGCAGGCCCCGTCCGCGGCCGTCTCACAGGTGTGGTTGGCGCACAGCGGGCACGCACACTTCAAGCCTGGAAACACAACTCGGCGTTAGCTGGTTGATTTGAGCAGCAGCATGGAGACAGTTTCACTCTTAGTGGTCTGCAACTATTTAACTAAACTGCACCGTTGCCATAGTTACTGAAAGCCCAGAGCTCAGGGGGCGGACATCCAGCAGTTATTGTCATTAAGTTAGTTTGTTTTATGGTTTAAAATCTAGTTTTATTTAAATACGAACCCATTGGTGGACCAAACTGAGCTCACCCGTGGGCCTGATCTGGCCCCCGGACCACCAGTTGAACAGCCCTACTTGAGGAGCAGGATGCTGCTGTTACATAAGAAGGTCTGTGCCCTGAAACAGGAGGAGGTGGAGGAACCAGAGTAATGCCTCTTAGTTTAACACCTATTTAATCTTGTGTTCTACTTGGAGCTGTCATGCTTTATTAGAAAAGCTTTGGAGTGATTGATAAGCAAGAAGGCACCGCCTGACGGGTTCTTTTTTTTTAAGGAGAAAGTAAAGATCTTTCAACGTGTGCAGTAAATCATATTACATGGAAAAATTATAACATCAATATTTAAAGGTTGCCACAAAAAGGCAAATGTGGCTTTGTGTCAGTCTGTCAACAAAATATCTAATGAACCACTGGAGGAATTTTGATAAAATGTGCAAATAGTGCAGACTGGATGCACATCTATAACTCTTTAGCTTTTGAAATCAATCTGTTTCAAGATGGCTGCCACAGCCAGCTGATATTAGAAAATACATAAATAGCTACAACTCAGTCAGTTTTACAGATATTGACTTCAAATGTTGTGGGTTTGCAGCTGAGACTGATCACATATTTTGATTTTTTAACAAACTATGCAAGATATTTGCTTAAAATCTTAGCATTTGCGTTTAAGGCAACCCTGTTTGTCTGTTAGCAAAATATTTTGTGAACCATTGCATAGATTTTGCTGAAACTTTCAGAAAATTGTATTTAAACATACATCTATAATTATTTAGCTTTAGGAGTCAATCCAAGTTAAATTGACCATCATAAATAATCTGGATTAGACGATACAAAAATGGCTTTAATTTAGTCAGTTTTACAGATAATGAGCTAAAATTTGATGTGGTAATAGCTATGTGTTATTCACACATATTCGGAGCATGAAATCTTGCAATATTGCATAAGATTATGAATAACCTTATTTTCAATATTTGATCAAAACTAGTCATTTGTCAAAATGAGAAAAATGTACATCTAAAACTACGGCATGAAAGACAATAAGTGTTTATTTAAGAATGCCAGGCTTTTCATTTAAATCAAATTTTCTATTAAATTACTTTATTGTAACAACTGAGCTTTAAATAAATGTGAATATCGTTTGTCAGGCTTTTAATAACCGAAAGGTTGTTTTTTTTCCTTCATTGTGAATAAAATCAAAAAGCGAGAATGAAAGAATGAAAAGGGAAACAGCACAATGCAAAACTGTGGGCACCCCAAAATATCTTTTCAATCAAGGCCTCAGCTTTTAGGGTTTATGAATTTTTTTTTAGCAGAGAAAAATTGATGACGTCTCAAAAAATTTTAAGAGAATCAGAAAGTGACACTACAAGAAAGAAAAAAAAAACTACAAAACAAGAAAAGACAGTCTGTCGGTTCCCTCAGGTCTTTCTCCGTTTCAAAAACAGACGATAAAATGAAAAGCAGTGTTTAAATGTGACGTCTGGAATCTAAGAAATCCTTCTGATGGACCGCACGCAGGACTGAGGGTCAAGGCTCGACCAAAATTACAGTTTGACTGAGCGAAGCCCTCAGGAAGACGGAGCCTCATGCGTTTCGTTCTACAACCACGCCAGCACAAATATAACTCTCGTGGAAGAACCAGCAGAAGAAAACAGCTTCTGCTTGCACAGCACAAAACTTGTTTTCAGGTTTTTGCACACAAAAACAGACAACACGTCGCAGCATATGCTGATGGGTTTGTTTGTGTCTTTTAAAAAAATAAAAGAGGATGGCTTTTAAATTGAAACGAAGCTAAAATTGCTATGTGGTCTGTTGCTAACAAACAAACAAACAAACACATAAACAGGTAATTACATGATCGTCCGCCTTTTGTGGCGGCAGCAGATACAATTTTTGAAACACGTGTCATACTGTGCTGCCCTTCATTGTTTTTTTCTTAGAAACTAATTAGGAACTAATTCAACCAGCAGCTGAATCCTGATGGGGAAATGAAGGCTTTATATATATATATATATATATATATATATATATATATATATTTGCACTATTTATATTGTTGCTTAGTAACAACCTACTCAAAGACTTATTTTTTGTTGCTCTGTAACTGAGCTAGAACCGTTTCTGTTGTTGCTGATGTTTCCTAAATCCCTGAATTTGCCTTTTTTGTTTCCTCACTTCAGTTTTGGCAGCTAACAGTCTGTTTACTGTTCAACTCTCCCTTCCCAGCTGATCTGCGTTCATATTTTCAAAATCAGATATTTATGTCACCAGCATCCAGTAAAACCTCTCACGAACCACTGGATGGATTTTATTGAAACTCTTAGAGAACAATCATTGGGTTTTACGTCTACAGCCTTATTTAAAATGGTCGCTCCATCAACACAACCATGGCTATAACTCAGTCACTTTATCAAATATTAAGTTATGATTTATTGTGGTAGTCATCCTCAACACATACAGTACTCCGAGCCCTATACGTATTTTTATTTTAATTTTAGTTTGACTCTGAACAGAACCACACATCTTGGAGACCAAATTATATATTTAATTTATTTAACTACTTCATTGCTGTAAAATACATTTTAAATGTCTGTTTTGTCTTAATTATCTGAGGTGGGAACATCAAAAAGCTTTAACCAATCAAAATAAGTGAGTGAATAACACAGTCCAAGTTAAACAGGTGCTTTGAAATCATTATATTTTCCCTCAAACCTGAAGTAATTTCAGACAGACAGAATTTAATTCCCTTTGAGAAGAAAGCTAAAGATATTGTTAATTATAATAATAACATTTTTAATATTATTGCCGCTGATGCTGGCAGGTCTTTACAACAGAGGTGTGGAGGCAAGAAAACCTGCAGCACAAACAGTTTGAATATGATTTCAATTTAAAACAGGAAACTTTTATTATCTTGTTTTTATAATAATAATAATAATAATAAAACTTTATTCATAAAGCCCTTTAAAACAACCACAGCTGCAACAAAGTGCTGTATTATTTATTGTACATGTTATTTACTATCTTGTTTATTAGCTTATTTTTGGCAGCTAAAGGAACCAGGTTGAGCTCATTAACCTGCTGTTACCTGAGTTTAAGGTTGATAAATGTGAATACAAAACCTTATCAGAACACACAAAAAGAGCAGATGGTATTTATTTAAAGTTTAAAGTTTAATGAGAGGTTTACGAATTAAAGCTGCAGATAAACACATATATATTTATTTATTAGTGTAAATATTACGGTAATCAAGTGGTTTACAAACTCTACTGACTTACCAAACAGCCTGATCAACCAAAACACTATTGTTTTTATTCCTAATAAGAAATATAATGGAAATATGCTATTAGCAACTTTTTTTTTTTTTCTAATTTCTGCAGGTCATTTGAGGACACTACACCTGGACTTGGTTATTCATGACCCACAGTGGGGTCCCCAACCCTTTGGCAACCTGTGCTCATCTGTAAACTTTTTAGAAAAATAAGACCAAACATAATGTGGAAACAGTTTCTAGCTTTTTTTTTTTTTTTTTTCAATAATTTCCTACAAAGTCCTCATCTCTCCTGTTTCCAGGTCCTTTACAAAAAATTACAATAATAACATGTAAACTATGAGCTCCAACAAGAAAAATTTCTTCTGAACTACGGTATATCAAATGGTGCAGTGTGAAAATGTTTATTCCAGTAGTTTCCCAGGTATGTTGATATGCAATTCTGAAATGAGGGTACACACTCAATGTAAACAAAGTCCTTTATCTGTATATACTCAACAAATATGAGCATTACTACAACACATCAGAAGTGTCAAACTTCTCAGTCACCGCCTCCTCTGGATGCTGCCATTTTTAACTTGTTTTCAGTCACTTCGGCTGTTTTCATGAGGTAAACAAACAGGTTGGCACACGTTCACTAATTTTGTTTACAAGCTTTTGAAGTCAAGGATGCATCAACCAATGAAAGGAGGAAACATCAACATCCCCATAAGCACAAAAATGTGCAGGCATTTAAAAAAAATATTCCAAATTAGTTTTTTTTTTTCTTTTCTTTTCAATCCCTAAATAACAAAAAGTGTCCTTGACAAAGCAATAAGCGTAAACCACATTGCATAATGAGACGAGCAGAATGCAACAGGTATTTAAAAAGCCAAGCAGAGGCTGTGATGCAGACAGACATACCTGTGGTCAGCTGGGAGACACACAGGAGGACCAGCACCACCTGAAGGCTCAGCTTCCTGGGATCAGTCATGGTTGAAGAGCCACATCTGCCGCTCCTCTGAGCGCACCGAGTGTCACACAGAAAGCTGCTCCGCACAGAAAACCTCTGAAACACGCATGACGCTGAGCTGCACAGCCTGAAGGTGTCCCACAGTGAAGTGACCAGGGAGGAAAGTGCAGCTAGCTCCGCCCCTGCTCACTGGGATTAGAGGATTAGTGGTTCAGAGCTCTGAGGGAGACATGTGAATGAAAAGTGTGTTCAATATGTGCAGCAGGTCTGGAGAAACGCCTCCTCCTGCAACAGTCTGCTGCTGAATCTGGACGTCACCTCTCTGTGTGTGCCACTAAAGGTGGACCAAATGAACAAGACGCACAGCTTCTGTTTTATTATAAAAGCCACAATTAGAATTTTTTCCATAAGAACTGAATGTATGTGGTTGCACTTAGTGTCTAAAAATAATTTGACTTGTACATGTCAAATCAGAGTCACAATAAAGGTTTGAAATCAGTATTTTGACGCAGGCAGTTGTATGGAAACCAATTTCTGCCACTAAAATAAATGAAGTAATAAATTAAAAGCACAACATAGCATCTCAGACACCAAAGTTAATGCGCAATAATCCAGGTACAAATCCAACAATGTTCGGTCACATCATCTGGATGGTTTCTTTCTTTCTTCTTTTTTTTGCTGAGACGTTTCACCTTTCATCCAAAGGACTTCTTCAGTCCAAGGAGCCACAAACAAACTGGAGTCCCACAAATACCGCACTCCCATAGTGGGAAAAACTAGTGGAAAAAAAGTTTCCACTATAGGAGAGTGGTGTTTGTGGGACTCGCTAGTTTGTCCCATGGTATTGTTGTTGCCTCAGCTGAGGTCGTCATGTTTGTGCAGTCGTGTGTTCCAGCCAGAAGTCCATCTTCTTGCACCACAGTTGTTGTTGCAACGTCTCTCCCAGGATGTGAGCCCAACACTCGGGACAGCAGGAATGAGGACAAAACATCCTGCTTTTAAGAATACTGAATGAGTTTGCTTTACGTACGTACTTGAAGTACCTGTAGTCGTGCTTCTGTTGTTAATTTATATGCCAATGTCATCACCAGATAGAATAAAGGAAGAAAACTTTGGTGTCAAAAACCCCACCGGGGCACAGTTTAAGTAGCAAACTTGCTTTATTCTTGATATATATATGGAAAACTAAATGGATGACCTGTGGAGCACCAAGCAGGTACCTGCTTGGTGGCGGTTTGGCTCTATTGTCCGACAGCACTAATGTAATGTAAAGAAAAGAGTCGATCGGAGGAAACTGGCATCTTGGTTCAATTCTGAGTTACGTACTTTAAACAGGCATCTAGAAAGCTGGAGAAAAAAAAGGTGCTCCACTAGCGTTCAAGAATTGTATTGAGACTAGATAGACTGCTAACTTATGAAAAAGCTCTCCATAGAGCTAGAACTTTGTATTATTCATCTTTAATTGATGAGAATAAAAATAACACCTCTTTTTTCAGTACCATATCTAGTCTAATGAAAAACTGTATCTCTGTTGAACCATGTATCCCCACAACTATAAGCAGTGATGAGTTCATGAGATTCTTTATAGTTTGTAAATAAAATTATTTCAATTAGGGAGAAAATTCAAACCACACTTTCTACTATCGCCTCTGGTTCCCTGTCAGATGAGACAACTTTAAAAATGTCAGTAGAACCTGATTTATGTTTGGAACTGTTTTTGTCCTGTTGAGCTCTCTGAAGCAATTCTTTTTGACAGTTCCAACAAACCATCCACATGTCTGCTAGATCCCATCCCAACCAGAATCATTAAAGAGGTATTTCTTTTTAATATCCACATTTTGGATCCACTTAATTTAATTCTAATAAATGGTTACGTACCACAATGGTTTAAAATTTTGTAATTAAACCTTTACTTAAGAAACATAATATCAACTCAGGTATCCTGCCTAATTATAGACCTGTATCTAATCTTTCATCTAAAAAAATTCTAGAGAAAATAGTTGCAGGTCAGTTGTGTGAACATCTGCAAAGAAGTAATCTGTTTGAGGAGTTTCAGTCAGGATTTAGACCTCACCATAGCAGAAATGGTCAGCATTTATATTTGTCCATGAAACGCAATGAATCCAATCAGCTACTTAGACTACAAGCACGTCTTAAAGACATAAAAACCTGGAAACATCTTTTCTAAGTGATGCAGAAATGGTTCATGCATTTATCACATCTAGGCTGGGCTATTGCTATGGCTTGTTATCTGGGTGTCCTAAAACATATTTAAAAAGTATTCAGTTGATCCAAAATGCTGCTGCCAGTGTTTTAATGGGAGATGGTAGGAGAGATCATATTTCTCCAGTTTTAGCTTCTCTCCATTGGCTCCCTGTCAAATTCAGAATAGAATTCAAAATCCTACTTCTACTATAAAGCTCTCAACAACCCAGCTCCATCTTATATTAGAGATCTTATTGTTCCGTATTTTCCTAACAGAGCACTTGGCTCTGTAGTGGACTAGGCCTACGTCGAAACCCAGTCTAAGGTCAAAACTCTTGACCTTAAGAACCTTGTGGGACAGGAACTGTCATTTCATGTATTTGAATACATAGATACAGGTTCACCCATCCTGAGACTTTCTTTCTTGAAGATTCAAGTGAAAAGAACACTCTCTTTTTATTATCATTACTATCTTACAAATGTTGATAATCAAAGTGTCTTAGTTCAAACCATTTTAGATGTTGCAGTGAACTAATCAATTTTATTAACTGAGTAATGATTTTTATTCTCATGTTAAAAGCTGTTGCAGAGTAATTATGCATTTTTCTGATTTCTGCTTTTGAATGAGCAAGTGTGTGCGTTTACAAGGTTACAGTCAAACGAAAAACAAGTTGTTATGTTAAAACTGTCATGTTTTAGAATCCTCTCAGACGTAAATAGAGATGTTTTGCACCTGTGTCTTAGGCACGCCAAAACAGAACCCTCTCGGTCTGTGAGAACATTTCTGAGCTGTCTCATAACAATTCTCGCTGTCTCTAACCCCTTACGTCACAAAAACACACCCCTTCTGGTCGTTTCTGACCAATGAAAAATCCCAAAAAGTGAACCGGGAAAGAGTCTTTAAAATGTCAGTACTTCCTGGTCTACACAGACTCACAAGGACTCACAGGTACTCAGAGTGACTTACGACTCACGGAGTTACAGAGTTCACAGAGTTGGAGAGTTGTCAGACTTCTAGAGTTCTGGAGTTCTGATGGAGTGCTGTTGGAGTTCCTGACATGACAACAAAGCTCTTCCGAGTTCCATGGGATTATAACATTTTCCACTGAGGTGAATGTGTGTCGAACAGAGCCTCGCCACTACTTCTGACGGGCAACAGCCATTCTAAGGAGACGCTGGACCGGTAGCGTTAACGGAACACCATATCTGCTGATTATCATCAGAAAGGTAATGGGTCAAGTTTCCTACCAAGCGTACCGAGGCGAGCTGGGCTTCTGATGGAGAGTGTCGGTTCTGGCGAACATTCCTCCCCTCCCATTCAATCTTAACTCCCTCTAAACTTCTTCCCATCTTTAAACTTTTCTATCAAGTAGAAATTCTTCCAGATATTTAGAAATGTCTGTGTAAAATGCTCACCCACATTCATGTGGGCAAAAGATCATAGTTGTACAGTTTATAAATGTCTGTGGTGCAGCAACGGAAAAATCATGGCCGTATGATTTTTCCTGATTGATTGCTTATATTGTTATTTTCATAATTTGCCAAATTAATGTAAATGTTTGATGTTAAATTTGATTCTGTAAATAAATGACCGCATTCATTTTGATGGGTCAAATTTAAATGACGTCTCACTTTGCATTTCCTTAAATTCAGTGCACGTTTTATTCAGTCCAGAAAAATGAGGAACTCGCGTTAAATGATGAATATATCCCAGCATCTGTTCATCTACAGCTCTCAGACTGCAGGCTTACTTGTGGTTCCTAGTTTCCACAAGCAGAATGGAAGATCTTTCAGTTATCAGGCTCCTCTCTTGTGGAACCAACTTCCAGTTTCTGTCCGTGAGGCTGACACATTGTCCAGTTTTAAGACTGGGCTTAAGAGTTTTCTTTTTGATAAATTCTATAAATAGGGTTGGCTTTTTTTGTTGCCATAGGCTTACACTACTAGAGGAAAAAATGACTTAATTCCTTAAAATGAATTATCCTGATGCATGCTCAATAATCCAGGTAGAAAAATCTAAAAAAGTTAAACCCTGGTCCTTAACACACTGATGGCTGTTTACTACTCACAGAGGGCTGAGTGATACTAGCAATCACAGCATTGTAAGAGGGGGACAGTTGAACCCGGAGGCCTCCACCCCTGTTTAACGATGGACGGTTTCTTTTCACAAAGATGGCCTCCTTTACTCCTCTCTCAAACCATCGTTCCTCTCTGTCCAGGATGTGAACATCTTCATCCCTGAAAGAGTGACCACTGGCCTGGAGATGAGTGTAGACCGCAGAGTCCTGGCCTGATGATGTTGATCTTCTGTGCTGGGCCATCCTTTTGGCCAGTGGCTGTTTAGTTTCCCCGATGCAAGACTGATCACAGCCTACTGGAATACTTTTATTCTCACCATTGCAGCACTTATAACTGTGGAGCTTTTATCTTTAATGGCGAGTTATACGTTTATTACAATGTCTTCTTATGAGAACAGATTTAGATTTTCCCTCTCTCAAATAAATCACAGGAGTTAATCTGTGCGTTGCTCCTGGATTACGAGGAAACTAGTTTAAAGTAGGCAGTCTGTGATCTGTGGGTGCAAGGCTGATCAAATGGCAATAAATATTGAACCAAGTCTTAACAGAAAGGCTGATATCTGCAGGAAAATGTGAGCCCGGTGTATCAGGACTGCTAAACATCCTCCGTTTGGTTTTGCTCTTCCTAAATACCAGTAATCCTGTATCTGTTTAAGCCAGAAGTCTAGATTTTCTTTGACATGTGTTGAGAATTCTTCAAGCAGCTTCAGCTTTGAAAGTAAAAAATCTGTGTTTACA